CCTGGACACTTGTAGTGCTCTGCATTTTATTTTAGGATTTAATGATAAGACAAGTATTATAATCTTTACACCATATTATTAGTTGAAAAAAGTTATGAGGAAATTATGGTTAGAGGTCAAATAACAATAGTTGCAGTGGTTTTTATAACCCTAGAGGTTGAACTTATAAGTTCATTAACCACAGTCACTATGCAACATTCAGCTAAGTTTAAAGTAGTTATTAAAATTCAGGAGTTCTCTCTGCCCCTGCTTAATTAAAAGATCACCTTTGTTATTAACCCCTGTACTAGCTATACTGTATATTTAACTGACTGTTATTCAGTGTCAGCAGCTCAGGAATTGTATATCTGTCAGCTACTGGTGTCCCTGTGGTTTATTTAAATTGGCAACAACTACATGAAAAATATCATCTTTATTACAATTTACTTATAATTTTTTTCTGTTCTTATGTCCCAGGTTATAACTGCTGAGCTGAAGAGCACTTCAGCTGAGTTGAAAACGTTACTGCTCCATTTTCTATTAGTAAAATTCTATATTTGATGTAATCTAATATTTAAGTAGGATTATTATATACTTCTTAAAATGGGAAAAAATAACCATTCTTATAAAAAGCATAAAAACAATGTGTAGAATACCTATGAAATGCAAACATGTCAACAGTGTTGACAGAATAACTCTTAAAATAAAGTTCTATTTCATTTTAAATGAATACTAGTGTAATGACCACAGTAACTTTAAATGACCACATAAACAGTATGTTTCTGTCACAACTGGCCAAAAATATGTTATAGGGTTATGCTGAGTGTGATTATTCTGTAATTCACACAGCAAATAACTTTTACGTGACACACTTCCTAATGGATCTGCAGTTCTTATATTACTTCTAATGCCATTTTTCAAGAAATGCAGTGATATCTTCCAAACAGAGAAAAACACTGGTTTTATAGTGTCGCGTGCGATTTTTCCACCAAATACTGTAAATGATCTCTGGTATTGCCTTAACTGATCAGTAGATCTTACAGTAGATCATCTTTAGAAATAACACAAATTTAAATCCACTTGGACATACAGCTAAAAAAAGATCAATGTGTATAGTATTAATGCTTTTATAATCTTACGGAAAAAAAACCCCTGTGGATCAAAAGAAACAATCACAAAAACAATTTATCTTTATTTTATAGATGGACTAATTCCTACATTCAAGAAATCCCCCCTTTTACACTCTTGTCATATCAAAAATATAATTACAGCACTTGAGGAAATCTTCTGAAAATAAAGTACCACCTTCACTGCGAAAAAGGAAAGACTTGAGCATGTAAAGCATCCCTCAAAAGCCTAATTGACTTCGTGGGAAGTCTTATCAGAAAGAAAATAATTTCTACATCTGCCTTTGTCTTGCTCTCTCTTTCTCTCTCTCACCCTCTGGCTCTCCCATCATTAAAATGATTTTGTCATGTAATACTTTCATAACTAGCTCTGATATAAAGTAGTTCTGAAAACTGTTGGATAGGCTCACATAAAAGTAAAATAAAATGTATTCAGTGTAGAAACCTCATTTCATAAAGGCTGCATTCCTCCCCACTGTGGGAAGTAAGAACACTGATAGCAATCCCTGTTAACAGAAACTGGTCTGGTGGCACACTGTACTTAAGCACTCTATTTCAGTGCATCAACACTCTCTTCTCAAGAAATGAGTTAGACAAGGGGTGAGCTCATGATGACTGCCTGAGCTGCACAGGCTTGGAGTTCATATTACTAGACAATGGAGATGGTGGTTACCCCCTGAGGGTCAGGGAAACCAGGGGATTGGTAAATCAAGAGCCAACGCTGTCACACTCAGTGGCTGAAAGCAATGTTGCTACCACAGAGATTTATACACGTTTCAGCTATACAGTTATTTTTGGACTACTACTACATCAATTAACAACAAATAACCTAAAAATAAGCATCTTTAATCATGCTATTTTCTTTTTTCACTCTATCACCTGTTCACCTGTATCATATTTCAAAATAGTCCCTTTCAGTTTCATCTTAACAAAATTAATTGCTATGTAACAGCACCATTGGTCACATATTTCCATTACTTAGTGCTTCTTACAGTTCTAATTTGTAACATTCACACATACATTAAAATGTAGTTTCTTATTAATTGAATTAATACATTCTTTTCAGTTTAATGAATACGAAATGTTTGCTCATATGACTCACTGACATGAAAGAAAGCTGGGCATGTTCACTTGTTTACGGCTTGTAATTTAAACAGAAAATGGCTTAGTATAATTTTAATTTTGTAGTCTGGTTAGTTGTGCTTGAAACAACCAGTGTGACCCAAAAGGTAAAACAAGATTATAATTCTATAAAATTACGACAGAATATTTAGGACTATGGAGATTTTAAAATTATTTAGCTAGCAGCTGTTAATTTGAGTGATTTTATAACACGCAGCACTAAAAAATGATAAATTATATTAATAAATAAAAAGTAAACATAGAGAACACTAAAATCTGCCCCTTCTAATGCTACCATCTACATATCTTACCATAAGCAACTTAGAAAAATAACTGTCATGTCGCCCAATGATTTTATGAGAGGTTCAGTGTGTAATGTGACCCTTACCAGCCTAGTAATAATAATAATCATTATAATAATTGCTTATACTTATATAGCGCTTTTTCTGGACACTCCACTCAAATCACTTTACAGGTAATGGGGACTCCCCTCCACCACCACCAATGTGCAGCATCCACCATAGTGCGCCAGAACACTCAACACACATCAGCTATCAGTGGGGAGGAGAGCAGAGAGTAATGAAGCCAATTCACAGAGGGGGATTGTTAGGAGGCCATGATTGATAAAGGCCGATGGGAAATTTGGCCACGACGCCGGGGTACACCCCTACTCTTTTCGAGAAACGCCCTGGGATTTTTAATGACCACAGAGAGTCAGGACCTCAGTTTTACGTCTCATCCGAAGGACGGCGCCTGTTTAAAGTATAGTGTCCCCATCACTATACTGGGGCATTAGGACCCACACAGACCTTAGTTTTTCCTTAGTGGGTTGCTAGTTGTGAGTTGCAGGGTGATATGGCTGCTGGGTAGTAGTTGGGTGTCTGGAATAGTTAAAAGAATTACATATTTTTTGCAAGGTTGGAAGTTCAATTCCATTAAACTGCCAAAATACAAAATAAACACTCTTCAACAAACTGTGTTAGTAAGCACTTTGGTAATGCTAAAGTAACTTTGTTTTCTGCTGTGTGTAACTTTCTATTAAAGTTTATTAGAAAACATATTAATCACTGATATCTAAGTGTGATTGATGGTAGCCAGGTACATCCTGCTTGAACAAGTTGTAAATCTGGAGAGCAATCACCTAATGTAACACCATGAAAGGATATGCTTTGCACCCTAATATTTCAAAAACTGTACCTGAGTCAAAGGACTACTCATCTTCCTAACATCTTTAATATGCAAAAATGTCATGCATATTAATTACATCTAATACAGGATTCTGAATTATGTTTTTAACACAAGAGTGTAAAAAAGTAAAAGCCTCAGAGAATGATTATTAAGAGACACTGAGAGATATAATAAAACTATTACCCATGACAAGTTCAGACTCAGAGTAACTGCCTATATTACACCTTTATTGACTAATCAAAACATTTTCTGTTCTTAAATAAAATTAGTTCATGTCAACATTGGAAATTGAACTCCTATAACCTTTCCATTAAGCAAAAGTAAATGTGACAAAGCCAAAAAGGAAAACAAGAAATTGGACTGGACAGAAAAATAATATATAAAAAAAACAGATGGTCCAACTGTTATGAAGATAAATATAAGGCCTGGCATGAACTGTGAAGCAATTTGCTATATTCACATTGAGGACTCTGACTGGCAAATGGAAACATAGTGGACTTGAAGCAATGCTCAGGAAGCCAGCAGCATGATTAGTCAATAAGCTGTAGCCAAAGGAGGCAGAAGCAGGAGTCAGCCTGGAAGTGCCCCCTCAGAGTAGTTTACTTTGCCTTGTGAGACTTGAACAGAAATCCCTTAATGCACTGTGCCCTTCATTTATTTTTGCTGCTGGACATCTGAGAGCAGTTAACTATGAGACAGTTTTGTGGTTGTTTTCCCAGTGATGGATCACATAAGACCCACAGGATTTTTCCCTGTATCCCCCACACCCTATAAAAACAGAAATAAAATAATACTAAGACAGAATCAATGTCTTTCATCCCAGACTCTGCACTGAGTAATGTGTGAAAGAAGAAATGATTATTTTTTTATCTTTTACCAAAACAAATGTTTCATATCGAAGGAAAAAATGATGGTAACCCTACAATTTGTCTTTTAAAGTGTATAACATGATCTAATAACTAAGGTAATAAAAACAAATTAAACTTCATCAGGGCTTTTAAAGGTTACTCTTGGATTACTTATCTGTAACCCCAAACCATTTAATATTTGTCACAATCAGAAAAATATCAGAAAACACTCTTCATGCCGTCAGTTCCTTAATTCTCTTTTTTAAACTTTGGTATAGGTGTAATATAACTGTTTCTGTAGCAGTTTAGTTTTATACTTTCTAAGTATAGTACAAGGCATTAAGTTTTGCTGAGTTACAGAAGTTACAGTTCTATAACTTCCCAGAGGAAGTTATAAGAGACAGAAATGTCAATTTGCTTGATAAACCGCTGTTAATCATCTGCAGTATGTAATTCATAGTCTGTACCACATGTATGGCACTTGAAAACTAAATTATTTCTCAGATGATGACAATACAGACAGGAACTTTTTTCAGTCTTAAATTATGTGAACGTATGCAGTACATTCAGAAAATGTTCAAAATAAACAAATGAAAGCAAACGTCTTATTATTAATTGTTAGAACAAGAAGCAGCTTCAGAAAAACAAAGCGCATGCTGACGAAGATTCAGCTGGAAAAGTAGCACAGGTAAAACTGCAATGCATGATGAAAAAAAGTTTGCATAGATTTTTTTACCATGGTTACAAGACTTCAAAACAGGCTTCTGTGAACCTGGGCTGAGACTTTGGCGGACATCTGCAAAAGTTATGGAATAAAACTCTTAATATAAACAATGTCAAAACATAGAAAGGGTTTTAACCTTATCGATAACTAGGCAGTCTATCAAAAAGAGCAAGCAAGCCCCAATGTAAAGAGGAGTCTAGGTAGTGATAACTAGGCAGAGATAATGTAGAGTTTTCAATATGTGGTTATTTGACACTAACGTTCCTTGTAAGGAAATTTAATATGAACTTAATATGACAACAACAAAGAAATACAACTTTCACATAAAGAAGGGTGCAATCTGTTGACAGTAGTAGTATTCTCTAGCTAAAACTTCTAATCCTATGTGCTGTCATGTGCAATTCCATTCTCGAGAGTCATAGTACTCACCACAAATTTAAAATTCTATAATGGTATAAGTAGACATTTCTAGACCTTTGGAACTCTGGAACTTTGTTATGGGCTGCCAGACAACCAATGACATTGCAGCATGTCAATATAAAACTGTATTAGATACCATTTAATTTTTACACAAAAGTTATTTATAATGCATAATTTGTATTATATAGCCATTTATTCTTTTGATTCCATAATTAATTTTCAATACTTTAAGTGGGAATTTGTGGGAGGAATAAAAGGCTTTAATTCTTTAGGGACATCATGACTTTCAGCTTCCCATATAATTACATTAATACAAAACCCACAGAGATAAGCTGCATATGCTTCTGTGGAGCAGTCTTGTCATTATAATCAGGCAATGCTGACTTCAGTACATTGATTCACAAACTGGTACTGACATCAGCCAACTGGAATAAGCGTCTTTCTGACATTTGTCATAGTAAAGAAAAGATTAAGCATGCCCCCTGGCACAGCCAGCTTTTCTCCCCTAAAGCACTTCAGTCATTACGTAACATGCATTATTTTGACATAAAAAGGTACGAATTCTGTTTCCTGGCTCCCAAAGAGTGTAATATAAAATAAGTAGGATATTCACCTTTTGGCCTGGGCACTCGCTTCCTCCGGTCTCTGAATGCAGCACCTGACTGCAGGGCCTCAAGCAAACTATCCATCACTCCCGTCTCATCACTCTCTGTGGAAGAAAAAAAAAGATTGGGGGAATTCTATCAGCCCTGAGGGTTGCCATAGCAATGTCAAAGAATACAGGCATAAAAGAAGGCCACTATGTCATGACAAAAACCAGCAATTTTAAAACTAGACAAGCTTTTAACTTGCTCATAAATCAGCTTTACCTTTTACTGAAATAAGTCCTACTTTGTGGTTTCGCTGCTGTACGATAAAATGGACGAATGTTCAACTGATTTACTTCAGGGCATTGGGTTTTATAGTAAAAATGAACAACATCTCTGTGCAAAATATGCTAACAATTAAAACAGAATTCATGTATTGGAATGCTTAAAAGGTTTGTCAAGTTATTTTAAATAAGCTCTCCTGTTTGAGTGGTCATTTCAGCTATTTTTAACACTGAACTGAAAACAGAGCTTCAAAAAACTAACTGCATCACTATTGCGGACAGAGACTTTTCTAGTATGACTTGAAACTGACTCTATGTAACCCGAATGCAAATCAAGTGTTTATTGCTACAGACAAGGGCCCATTCATTGGCATGAAAGAGACAACAGTGTTAACCTTTGCATTGATTGAAGGAGGCATGCTGTTCTCTTACACGAAAGTGATGAAACTACACCTAGACATTTAAAGACACACTGCACATAATATTCACAGTCTCAGAAAATACATTCAAATATTGGTAAATATTTAGCATGAGAAAAACAGCATTCTCTCGTTGATATCTGATATAAAAATAATACTAATACTACATTTGGTAGTTATGCGTATATAATATCTAAAAGATGCCACATTAATAATCTTTGAATTGGCAATATGTTTTTAATATAGTGCTAAATATCTCTACTTTTATTGTTGTAGTAAAATAACATTATAATACAATACAGATATGATCAAATAAGGAGAATGTGGTAAAGATATTGTCTTGACATTATTTCACAAAACTTGATCTTGAATTTCTAAGAAGTACCACATTGCAACAGGTCTGTTTAAAATACCTAGGGTTGAGTAAAAACATGAATATTGGCAAAAAAATAAAGTGTACAACAATGTTTTCGTTTTCTCAAGTGTTTCATTTTAAATAATAAAATTTAGGACATATACATGCACAAAGTCAGAATTACACCTGTAAATCTTGGCTGTGCAATCAGCTACTTGTTCTTTCACACAGAGAATGAGGGCAGAGGACAAGTGGCTTCAGGGAAGGAGACAAAACACAGTGATCATGTATTCATAATTACCCATCACAAGATATTCTGTGGTGAAAATCAAGAAAAGTTAATGTCTCTCATATGGAGTGCAGACCACAATTTATAGCTACAGTACAGAAATAATAGTAGTTATGCCAACAATAGTAGTAGAGACAGACATAGGAAAAGAAGTAATCTGAGAAAGTAGTTTCATTTTGTATATACAGTAAGTCAATAGTTTTCCATCTACTGTACTTTCCATAAGTTATGTTTTAGAAAAAAAAGCTCCATAATTTTGACAACTGGCCTATACATTATGCAGCCTATGGATATTTGTTCATTTTCAATATAAAGATAAGCCTCTAATCTAAAAATATGATTTATCCAGACACAGAAGATATTTAATGAATTTATAATTTAGGTCAAAGAGTAGAATTAAAGAAATAGTAATATATATATATATCTTTTATCCTGACATTCTTTTTTTTCCCTGACAGAATAAAATAGTCTCATTTAAGAATATAAACCTTGACACTAATTGTAAGCATATACCTGGAAAGAATTCTAGGGCAACATAGTAGTCTGTAAAGTGAAGAAGTGCAAAGTGACTGCAATATATCGACTGCCTGAACTTTGCTTGTCTAATAACTTTATCTGTTTCAGGTTTCGGCGCCACAAATGGAACATATGTAAAACCTAATTATAAAAATTAATACTTATGACTATATGATTATACTGCAGTTCCATGATGGTGTGTGTGGTAGGTCTTTGAACCTGGGTTCAATTCTGGGCTGGAGCACCTTATACAGTATGTGGAGTTTATATGGGTAGTTTCTTAGGGCTGCGGTGTCCTCCCACTTCCCCAAAATTAATACACTAGGTTTCATTGGCCAGTATAAATCAATTCTATGTCTGTAATCTATCAATGAATTAGCATACAATCCTCATTTACTCTGGGTCTCGCCTTCTTCCATGTGTCCCAAATTACAGCAGCTAGTCTTATAGTCAGAGTGACCATTTCACTTACAGGCCAGTGTCTATTCCTGATGTTATCTCTGCCTTTCAGCTTTTCCTATGATGTCAGGAAAAACGGCAGGTGTCTATTTAAAATTCACCTAAGTCAGATCAGGAGTAACGACCCCAGGCCACAGTCAGATTTGTACAAAAGCAACAAAATAATATTTTTGCTGCAGAGACTAAAATCCAAAGAAACCACATAAAGCATGGCAGAAAATCTTTGAAATCAATGTAATTCAACTACTGCTGTTGTAAAAAAAAAGCACAATTGATTATGTATAGAGACCTATCTGCAAACTTTTTTGTAAATTAAAAAAAGAAACAAAAGATCAGCTAATTCAGCCACCTGTTTATACTGATTTTCAACAGCTTTCCTGAACAGACTACCACACAATTAAAGATGCATTAATAACTAGGGACTCAGAATTCTAGTGTGTACATGTTAATGAGCTCCAGTGTTAATGGACTGCAGTGTTGAGTGAGCTGTTGTCAAGGAAAATGAAAAGCTGTCCATTCACTAGACCTAGAAATGGAAACTAAAGGTCACTATATTACAATATTTATAGCATAGCCTAGCTCTGTGTTGCCCCTTCATGTCGCTGTACTTAAAAGATTATGAGGACATTGAGCATGCGATCAGTCATTGCTTCAGAGTTTTCTAAACCTAACATTTCCAGTACTAGGATTTCAAAAAGAAGAAACATATCACAAAAAAGAATTAAAGAAAACCTGTGAGTGGTAAGAACATTGCTTAACTTTATAAACAGCATCAAAGCACTAAAGAGAGCTATAAATATGTGCAACTTATAATGTGTAATGTGCATGTGATTCCCTTATTGTGCTGGGTACAATGCTGCAAAGCCGATTTGGAATTGCTTACACATCTGCAGCAGGAATTTGAAAAAAGTGGATGGTATAACTGTTGACAGGGTATTTTAAGATATTATTACTATTTGCTTTATGCTTAGTGTATGGTATGAGACACTACTGGGGCAGAGGGTATAAGTGATATGTAATCAAGGACAGCAGGCTGCTGCTTCTCCTGCCATATAATCTGTAACTGGGCAGTGCTCAGGATGGCTGTGTAAAGACACTTCTAAATAGCTATATTATTCGGAAATCAGTTCAAGGACTGAATGTTAAATCCCAATCTAGGAAGCAAGCACACTCAAATGCAAAGTTTTTTGCAAAGCAATCTAGTTTATCTAAAATAAAAAAGACTGATTCCAAACAAAATGACCTCAATTCTCTAAAAGATGGGAATGGCACAGCACAGAGTGCTTTACAAATTGAAACCTGCCACACACAGTGGAGGAAGAAAGTCCAAATGATTGGGCTCAGAAGCTGCGTGATTAAAAATGTTTTTTTCAACAATTTGAAATATATACAAACAAGCAATATTCTATAGATTAAATGTCCTGTTATTATCATGTCAAAAACATGGAAATCTATATTGTCTATTCTTCACTGAGTTAAGAAAACCAGGTTGTACAATAAATGTTGCACCTGACTGGTACATCTTGTTTCATACCCAGTATTCAAAGCAATGCACAAAGAACATGCCAAAATGACTGAGTTCTCAATTGTATTACAATAAATTTGTCTGATGCTATCACAGTTACACAGTTCTTTACAGACTGATAAAATCAAAATAATTGATTGGAGTGCTTTCTACCAAGTACATGAGCTGCATTCCAAAGTAAGTCAGGCCCCACAGACTATGTGTATTTAAACTACTAGGCAAGAACTATATAGACCTAAAGCATGTTTTTGAGGGAATGTCATGGTTTGCTGAGAAAGTGGAAAAAAACTAAATTATCACTTCTGCCACTATAATCCCTTGATAGGTAACCTTTCATTTTATTTTATCTTTTCAGAGTCATGACTTTTGAAAAGATACAAGAAAAAAACTATTATATAATTCATTTTGTTCTGTATCACTTCCACAAATGTCAGGAGCCAATCCCCAAGGAAAGTTACAACTCAATTACTGAATATCTTATATTGCTGGTAATTTATTTCTCATACTGTACATTTGTTAAAATACAAAAATGTAATTAGTTTCCTTTATTTACTGCACACTTTTGGATTTCCTAAAGGGGCATTTCATTACTTTTCTACAAGGTATGCATTGTCATCAAACCATTGTTATTGATAGGTACTATCCAATATTGCTGTCTGCACTTCTCCTGACTCACTATCTACTGCCGTGAAACATACAGTAGGAAGGAAAACATACAGTAGCCTTTCTTCCTTCATGTCTATGGAAAATCCTGGAAATCTGTCACTTCATGGAGATACTAAAATAATATTGGGATGTTGAGGCATTAATACTTAGAATTTAAGACTTTGATCACCTACCCAGCATAATGTAATAGGCTCATAAGGCCACTACTTCTGAATTACAGATCCAGAATTTACAAAAACTGCATCCTAAATTTCTCAGTTTAATATTATGAGCTTTTTTGCTACTACACAACACTACTCATATACACAAAGTAAATTATGAAGAATTGTAGCAGTTTCTACAAGGTACATGGGTATTGGGATATCTAGGAGTACAGTACAGCTAAACAGGTTATCACATTAATTCATCATGGATGATTGTCTACACTCTGACACCCAAAGAAACACGGACCATCCATCAGTTAGAACTCATACGTGGGAGGAGGACACCCCCTCCCCTCCAGCCTTTAATTGACAACAGGTCAGAATGAGTAAGCAATTATCAGAATGGGTAGAGGAAAGAAAAAAAAAGAACAAAAAAGGAAGCTGCATTTTGTTCCCGGTTCAAATT